ATGATTGCTCCAACATGGGGTGTATGTGTCCTTACAGTTGCTGATTCCTTTATCACTGTGCAGTGCATTCTATAATGCAGATTTGATTTAATATGYTTTGTGTGATGCAAGTATAGGTGTATCTTCCTCCAGGTGGTTCCTATTTGCAGAGCATATCCTTCTCCRCCCCTTCACTTTCAGTCCCTGTGCTCTGCCCTCGTGAAGTGGTTTTCTTTTAGGCAGCATATCATTGCATCTAGTTTTCTTTTTATCCCTTCAGTCATCTCTTGGGAAATTTTCTTTTTACACATTCAGGGTTATTACTGATATGTACAGACTTACTCCTGTCATTGTTATTTTCTTTCCTGGCTGTTTTGAATATCCATTTCATTTCTTCCTCTCTGGTTAATTCTCATTTGGTGATTTCCTGTATTGATAGGGATTTATTCTTTTTCTTTGTCTGCTCTGTACTCTGTGTGTCTTGATGGTAGTTACATCCTTTCACTTCTAGTATAGGACTCCTCCTCCCTTAAGCACTTTCGTACATCTGATGGTGAAGAATTCCCTCAACTTTTGCTTGTCTTGGAAAGTCTTTCTTCATTATTTCTGAAGGATAGCTTTTCTGGGTACATAGTCTTGGCTAGCATTTCCCCCCCCAGAACTTTCAATGTTATCCTGTGAGGTTTCTGTTGAGAATCTACTGCTTCTCTAATGGGGGTCTCTCTTTATTTATTTATTTATTTTTTTGTAGGTAACTTGATATTTTTCTCTTGCAGTTTTCACAGTTCCCTTTGTCTTATAGTTTTGACAGTTTTACTATAACATGACTCAAAAGACCATTTTTGCTAAAATTCATAAGGGAGCTTCCTGGACTGAATGCCCATATGTTTCCCAGATTAAAAAGTTTGACAAGTTGTTTCATTGCATATATTTTTTAAATGTCTGTCTATTCTCTGTCTGGAATACCTATAATGCAAATTTTTGCTTTCTTTATATCATGACCAAAAGTCTTAAAGGCATTCTTCGTTTTTCTTAACTTTTTCTTTTTAAGATCCGACATGATTATTTTAAAAYACCTGTCTTCAAGATCAGAAACTGATTCTTCTTTCTGATTAATTATGCTGTTTAGGCTTTTAGCTGACTTGTTTGCTTATGTTTTTCCCTTTCTTCTTTCTAATTTTATGGAGTTTTTTATCTCCCCTGATTTCTGATTGGTTCTTTTTTATTTCATCTATGTCTTTGTCCAATTTCTTCTACATATCATAACGTGTKTTTCTAACTTCTTTGTATTGTCCATCTGTATTCTTCTGTCTCCTCAGTTTTCTTAAAAATCATTCCTTGAATTCTTTCTCCAGCTGTTTAATTCTGCCCCAGTGCATTGTTCCAGACCATAATAATGTGGGATGCTCTCACAAAGTGTTTAGATCAGTCTCATCATTGCACAGCTCCCGAAAGGCTGTATCATCCCTAAGTGCACCTGACAAGCAGCCTGGCACAAATCTTTCACTGTTTTCTGTTAACAGGGCACTGCCTTGCAAAACCTGAGGTGATCTTCAAGCTGGAGCAAGGTGCTAGGCCGTGGACGGTAAGCGAAGCCTCACACCAGTGCCTCCCAGGTCAGTCAGTGCACGCTGCGCAGGGAGACCAGAAGGAGAGCCCCACAGACACCAGCCATGTTGAGCTGTTTTCATCTGTGTTTCCTCAGGTCCCAATCCTGAGGAAGCAGGTCTTGTGCTTCAGCCCCTTCCTTTGTACAGTCTCCAAGGAGTGCTCTCTCATGTACACCCATGTTTATGTTCTCATAATGTATACTTCATTAAATTTTCCCAAACCCCCAAYCCCCATATGGATCTTGACATTTTTTGATTGGTTACTTTTCTTTCCTCCAGTTTCATAGC